GATGATTTTGTTTTATTAGATTTCATTCTATATCTATACTATTAATTTCGAAATTATATTAAAATATAAATTAATATTAAATATGTTTATGTATATTCAAAATAGACATGTTTACATATATTTAATTTTGAATTTAATTGTCCACTTTTTATGGTAAAAGATTATTATGATTTCCATAAATATAGATTGTTGTTTATTTTTATTTTTTTTGCTTTCAATAATTCTGTTTGGCAATTGGAATATATTTCATGAAATTTTTTTTTCAATTAGGGGGTGTTTGGCTTCAAGTTGTCCTTCCCAATTAATAGTATAGATAGTACATAAAATTGGATCTTGTTGTTAAGTGTTGTAGGTAATGTTTACGTGTTTTACATGTGAGATGAATACGAGATGGTTTTGAATGTTATCAAATTCCTTTCTAGCTCATAACTTTATATCCAAGGACCATTAATTCAACTTTTTCAAAAAGCTACGCTAATATCTAGTCTAATAGGCTAGATAATACATATAATGATGCTTTATTGCAAGTACGTATGAAGGGAATGCATAACTATATGCTCTACATTAAGTCATTGTAGTTGTATATAATAGGATTGAAAGGAATTTGAACTCAATTAGATTGGTTTTATATACATGTCTAGTAAATGGATACTACATGCTCTAGTTTTCTTTCCCCTTTTCACCTTCTTTCAACCCCAAAAAAAATATTTACTTGCTTTACATGGTGTTTGTTTTTCGTAAAGATGATGAATACATATAATAGGTTTATTGTTATTAAACTGTTCTTTATCAAAGCAAATAAAACAATTATAAATCTTTAATATCTCTAATTTTGGATTTTAGATTTAGGACATCATGATGCCAAATGAACCAAAACAAATTTAGAAAGCAAAATCTTGAACAATATATAGAAAGTATAAGACACAAATGAACCGACGCTAAAATTAAATCGAGTTCAACTACAACACCTTAATGACACACACACAAATCGTCGATCCCATTTTACTTTAGCTGTAGTTCAGTTAATTTTTAAAAACCAAATCTGAACGAGGGCACACCCCTAGAACCAGGAATGCATAGGTCCGACCACCGAACAATGAGAAGACCTTATGGGTCATTGCTTTTAACACTTCCCATAAATAGAGACACAATATAGACACATGCATAATTTTAACAGATAGAGATATATACTATACGCATATATAATAAATTTCCAAATATGCACTGACATGCCAGCTTTATCAATTTTGAAAATGGAGGACACTTCATACAATTTGATTGGTTGGGAGGTGAGTGAAGGACCATATATTATATAAGAGTATTCTTGAAAATGAGGTTAAAAAAATAAAAACACCAGATGCTGTTTTAGCCTGATCACGGGACCCATACACCTAATTTTATCATATAGTATTTACAAAATTTCATAAACAATAATAGAAAGAGCAAATAGCCAATCAAATCGCACATCGCAGTTCCCAGAATTATTGGGTGCTTTGCTTTGGATAACCATCCAATTAGATTATCATATCGACCTATGTGGAGAGATACATGCATGTTAATATAGATAGATACATGCATGTCATATAGATAGATACATGCTTTTTAAATTGGTGTCGACCATACATATTTCTTTATTTTTTGTTAATACGATATAATCTCGAATCTCAACACCCATTTTATAGGATTCGAGCCCGAGATATCTCAGAAGATTTTTACAGTCATATTTTATACTATATAAGTACTCTACCATGCCATTTATAGCTGGAACTACTATCATACAAAACCGAGCCATCTTAGTGTCCGTACAGTTTATAATATAGAACAAACAAAAATAATTAAGAACCAAAACCGCATGATAAAAGCTGCATTGAACACCATAACTTAGTACGATTTTTGTTTCGAAATGTAACTAGTATTAACTTAATACATCACGTGAAAGCAAATTATGCAACCTTTAAATTTCTACCTTAAATTAGTTTTTAAAAAACACATAGATAATAAAATATATTATAGTGACGAAACAAATTATTCAATAGTTCTTCGTTCATTTATGATAGAAGAATTATTTAACCTTCTTTTAAAACTTCTCTATACTGATTTAATTTTATGCAGTCATTAGTCATGCATCAAGTAATCATCAAATATGGTTGTCACAAATATACAACGTTTACATGTTTTTTTCTGGCTTCTTTATTGGATTTGATCACTCACGCATGTAGATGAACTCATGAACCAAACGCACACGTATATTCATATATTAATACATTTACAAGATGAAGAGATGATATGGTTGTAAGTTGTAACTAATTATCAATAAAAATTATGGGTCGAAGAATAAGTGTATATATTGAACACAAATATTATATTTTTCAAACTTCTGCGCCCGCATATGACCAGTAAGCTTGTATAATAATATTTTCATAGAATTAATATCCGCAATAAAACAAACCAACTACAATGACCCCGATCTAATTGACATTATTTTACTGGTAAATGAAGCTTTATTTAATAATTATGATAAAATGGACGAAGAGCAGATCCTAGGTTTAAAAAATTAGTCACGAGTAATTGGTTAGAAACGTAGGAATTAGATGTAGATCGCAAAAAAAAACAACGAATATTTAAAAAATAAAATAAAAAATCTCTCGTTATATCGGAAAATAAAAGTTCAAACAAAACAAAAGAAGCAAAGAGACATAAATTAGTGTAACGATGACATAAATGAGACGCACATAAACCATCCACTGATTCAAGTACGGTCTCTCGCATATGTTTTTGCCCTAAACACGTGGCGTTCTCCTATTCCCAAATGTTAATCTCTTCGGCCACCGGAGAGACACAGAAAGAATATAGAGAAATAGAAAAGAGAGAGAGAGAGAGAGAGAGAGAGTGTGTGTATACTGACGAGAGATAGAGGAAAGAGAAGAGAGAGATCAGAGAGATGGATCAAGATCATGAGTTATGGCGGACGCTAAGATGCGCAGGCAAGGCGCAAGATAAGACCTCATCTGTTAATACTCTCATGCTCAAGTACCGTCCGATCGCTCCAAAGCCGACGACTACTGGTCAACCATTCGTCGGAGACACGAGTACCATGAGAAGGACGAAGAGGAAGTACGTTAGGGTTTCCAAGAATAATAAAGCCACGTGTCGTTCAAAGATCAACGGCTTCAGATCTAGCTCGACAGATCCGGAGATTGGTCGGGAAGATATCGTCACGCTACAGCTCTTGCCGGAAAGATCTACACCGTTGAGTTTGGATCATAATAATAACCTCGATCCAACGGTGGAGACAATGGTCGGAGATGAAATAACTGAAACGGACACGTGGCTCAAGTTTAACGGCGGTGATGACGTGTTGCAACGGGTTCCGGTAGAGACGTGGGTGACAGTGGAGTCTCTTAACGGTGGCTCGGTATCCCATGCGGTAGGGTTAACGGACGAAGAGATCACGGATGTTTTACATAAAGACACGTGTCCTGGTTTCATATCGGATGGTTCGAACCGTGTGGTGATGGTTAACGAGGCTTACCGGAGGATAGTAACCGGAGACGGCGGGTTCGGGAGAGAGGTGATTGTGTGGTTGGTGGTTGACCCAACGGCGACGTTTTATGACTACCGAACTTTTACGTGTAAGGTAAGACTGGAATACACGTGGCGAGAGACCAAGTACACTAAAACGGTGCCGTGTGATGTGTGGAAGATGGAGTTTGGTGGGTTTGCATGGAGGTTGGATACAAGTGCAGCTTTAACTCTTTGGCTCTGAGGTAGAGATGGGTAAGGTTAATTAAGATCAAGTTGTGGTTAAGGTGTATAATACTAATCTCACACCCTAATCACTCTTTCCAACTTTGCGTATTGGGAAGTAAGTAATACAAAAGAGAAACGTGTTTAATGCTAATATATATGTGGGGGAAGTCTTGAGAATCAAGTCTTACAGAATAAATTTGTGTGTGAGAGAACCTTATATATAGATTTGAAATTGCCATAATGTCAAATATTGATTGGCAAAGATCAATAAAAAAGATGTCATTGCTTAATTAGCTTTTGTATTCATTTGGGAATACCATAGTCGTCCATATATATATATATATATATAAATTTTGCATGTTTCTAAGAAATATCACCTGTAATTTCACCCAGCATCATAAATTGTAACAAATAAAAACTATTATTTTTGGCATTTCAAAAAGAGTGACCACCTTAATCTATATTGAATATAAATGTGGTTTATTGTTGAGAGATAAATGAGCTGTACTGGGACACTATTATGCATTCATGCACCAACATACACATGTTTGTATGTATATTTGGTGAAAATTAGATTAAGAAAACGTACTGAAACTATATATGGATTTATGCAACCAACCTACAAAATACTTATACGTACTTAGTAATATGAGTAAGTGTAAGTGTATATAGAGAGAAGAATCCGATGTGTGTGGTTTTAAGATCCTCGAGATTTCTTTACCGACATATGTACTTATAATTAGTCTCTATTACTCTATAGAATTGGACAATCTCTTCTTATAGTTTTTGGGGTTATATATATATATGTGAATGTAGCTCATGGAGAGAATGAGACTAGCTAGGTGTATATATTTATGGCTTTATTATATAGAAGTGTCGATATGCTATATGCGCATGTTAGATAGACCCAATTCTGCAGTAGCCAATAATGATGATTACATCACATCTAAAAAATCTTCTGTGGGCTTTTGAATCCCAACATATGGAGTCATGTCATTGGCTAAGCAAAAAGTTATAAGAAAAAAATAGCAAAATAATTTATAAAACTCCCAAAAAGATCTATCGAAGGAGGGCCGGGGAAGGGGAATAAATAAAGTGGTTATGGAACAACACTCAAATACGCACAGTGAAAGAAAAAGATTATATTGTTTACACGTGGCGTCTCATCAGAGAAAGACATTAACCAATCAGCTTTCACGTTTTGTGTTTTGTTCTTTTGTTTTTGCCCTTTCTGTTTAATTGTCTTGTTTGGTCGAATTAGCTAGTGACGCCATGCCAATAAGCCATACCTGGGATGGGAGAAGTGTTTTGGTTTGGTTCGGTCTCACTCAGTTTTTATCGATCGTGGCCGTTCATGTGTGTTGGTATGAGATGAATCTAACCCGTAACGTTGGTGTCACGTTATTTGTTGGATTTTTCTTTATATGTAAACAGTAGTGAATAGTGATAGAATTTTTGGTTGACGAGAAAAACGAATAGGAGCATATCACGTGTCTGTTTTTCTCGAATGAGCTATTTTATAAAGTCTTTATAAAAAAAAAACACAATATTAACCCATAAAAGAATTACGTACGAATACCCCTAAACACAGTAGTTATCACGATAAGTGAAACATTATATGTATTTTTAATGCTGTTGATGTACTTGCATGTCTTCTGCATTCTAGCTTTTGGAATACTATTGAAAGAAGAAAGCAAATCCAAGTTTCTCAAATCTTCATGTAGAGTTATATAGAGAACACGATCGAGTCGAGTTAGTGTATATTCTTCAAAGTGTGTTAGATCAGTAGACTAATTACATTATTGCGATTTATATTCATTATAAAAGCAATAATCAAAAAATGTTTGCTTACTCTTTTGTTTCATATGTATATCACTGGAATTTATATAGTAACAAACATGATAGTGATATTATAGTGAAATTTAAATTCTGTCGACCTACAGTGAGTCTCCTCAAAAATGAGCTTTATCACTTTTGTTATGCAACATCTGAAACTTTCGACTGTTTAAAACTGTTGTAATGCATGTAAGAAATATATAAACCCCAATTAGCATCTCACTCACACTATCTCTCTTTTTTTTCTTCTGATTTGATAGCATCTCTCTGTCTTTTTTTTTTTTCTTCAAAATATTCTTCTTTATATTTCAAGATTTATATGAGAAGATGGTCCTATAAAATAAACAATGTGTGATGGGGAAAAAACGAAGAGCGACGCTATTGGTGAGGAGAAAGTCCACGTGGATTTTTTTTTTTTTAGAGGTAGTGGTGGAAATGGAATAGATGGTTGAGACTGATTGGTCCAGCACATCTGATTTGGACCAAAATCTCTCTAATCCATCTCTCCCCATCACGATAGATACGCTTATATCTATATATCTTGTCGTGCCTTTTTGAATTTCAAAACAATATTATTACTACTATTCGTTTGCTTTATACTTTATTTTATTTGTGTGTGTCCTTGTTTGGCTCGATATAATCCTGAACACGTGTGTGTATACATACGTATTACACAGATAGCATATATATATATGTACACAGCCAACGAATCGTGGTTGCATGTCCCGATGTACGATGCACTCATATATATACTTAAGTTATGATCATATATACAGTATATACACAAAAACTTAGATTGTGTATTATTGTATTTAAGTGTAATTATTGAATATAAGCCCTTGAAGAGTTTTAAACTGAAAAGATTGAGTCCTTTATACCAACCAAAATTGATGATAGCTAGTTTACAATTACTATAAACAACTTATAAGGGCTTTTACATTTTAGTACTTACTTATTGATATAATTTCCAACCAGAATTGGAAAAAAAAAAAAAAAATCTGTAAGTCATGAACCATTGTTCTCAACAGACTTTTTTTTGTTTGGTATCCATTTCACTAAAGGAGAACAACTTAAATAGACGAAGACCTAAAGTACAGGAAACACTCTGATCACAATTTAGCATTAGTCAATTAAATTATAAGCTACACAAGTTGAAGTACATGATACTGTATTTATACATGGTAAGAACCCGTAATCATAAATTATTTGTTTTATAATAAACCAATGTTCATTTACATTATTTTAGTATTTTATATATCGAGAGTATATATATGATATGTTTAAAAAAAAAAATTAAAGTACGTGATATATAATTCGGTTCACAGTAAATCTAATACTTTAATATTACTCATCATTATCTTTCACATTTTAAAATGTGAATGATTTTTCCATTTAATTCGATAAAAGACTGTTATTTAATAATATGTTCTCTTATATTACATTAGTACTTAGAGTATGTTCAATGGTAATATTTTGAATGGCTGTCTAAAAAAAATTAATTTGATTTTTTAAACAAATGGGTGACTAAAATGGATGTCTAAACTCAACAAAAATGTCTTAAATAAGGCATATTAATTAGACAAACAAATATCTAAAATTGGATCTCAAAATCAAGCAATTCAAATTTTTTTATTTTTAGGATCCACACCCCAAAATTTACCATTGTACATGCTCTTATGAAGATTTGTATCAACGTAAATATGTTTTGAAAACTTGAAAAAAAGTCGTAGAATTGGGGACCCATTGCATAAATATGGAACCAATCATCAAATCTTTATTCTAAAATGTGCTAAACGCTTGCCCTAGCCACGTGTTTATGTACTAACTTTCCTCTTCTATCTCTCCAACTATTTCTTTTTTTTTTTTCTCTCCTTATTCTTTTCAACAATATTGAGAGCATTTTCTTATATCAAAACACCATTTGAGAACACCTACAAATTTTTAACTCTACGAGAGAGATAGTGAGATTGAGGCAGACTCAAGTCATGAATGATAACTACGGAACGCAACGGCAAGCTTCTGTTTGCGATGGTGCTACGGATGAGGACAAGACTGTAATAAGCAAGATAATGCAACAATTCCGACCGATCGCGCCAAAACCAGTTGTGGGTGAATCTTCCGATGATTCGAAGAGTAGCAGATTCCTTGGAAGGAACAGGAGATCGAAACGGAAGTATGTTAGGGTTCGGGATAAAAAAAGTAGTTGTGGTAATAATAATAACTCTAGGATACTTGGAAAAAAGAATGGTCGCGATGGTGGGAACCAAAAGACCGATCTACATAAAGAGATAGATGCTGATGATAATAGAAGCGATATGGTCACACTTCAGTTGCTGCCGGAGAAGGATAGAGATCTAGGAAACAATGGAGATGAAGCTGGTGAGTATTGTTCGGATCCGAGTTATATGGATCCGAAGAAGAGATTGTATGGTTCTATCATAGGGCTGTCGTCATCTTTAGATCGGAAGGTGGTGGAGTCTTGGTTGACGGTGGAGTGTGTGAGTGACACGTGTAATGACTTGGGAGGGTATCACATCCTTGAGCAGCTAGGTCGTATGGATCAAGGAGAGGAGAGAGTGATGAAGATGTTGGAGGTTGACACGTGTCCGTGGTTAGTTTCGGACGGGTCAAACCGGGTTTGTTGGGTAAACCGGGCTTACAGGGGGATGATGGGAGCTCCTAATGTGGATGCTATCAAGGTGTGGCTGGTGGTGGCCACGAACCTTATGGAGGAGATAGCATGCATGGTGGAGTTATACGGTGCGGTGACGTGCAGGGTTAGGGTTAGGTACGAGCCGTCCACGTGGAGGAAGATGACGGTGCCGTGTGATGTATGGAGGATAAGATCAGGTGGGTTTGCTTGGAGATTGGATGTTGAATCAGCTCTAAGGCTTGGCGTGTGACTGAAACAGGAAAGACGAAATAAATCGGAATAGTATATTTTGTTGACGATGGTAAGCGACATTACATTGAAAGCAACATACATACATATATATATATATATATATATATATATATATATATATATATATATATTAACAGAATCAAACGTGTGATACGTACAAGTTAAAGCTAACTTTGGGTTGTGATAAGTTAGCATTAGAGTTGTCTTCGAATCCGGCTTTAGTACTCGTTAGTAGTTTTGTCTTAATACTAGCTTTGGAATGAGAGGATTTATATAATATTACCATGGTTTCTTCTTATGTCGTGTGCCAAATATATAGGATGTAGTTACTTTGTTGTAGATGTCTTTTCATATAATTGTAGAAAAATGTGTAGGTAAGAAGAAAATGAGGTTTGAATTAATTTGTGATTTACTATTTATTTATGAGAAATATTCCAAAATACTAGATAACTTGTACGATAGTAATATGATTTCAGACTTTCATTAGATTAATGACATTTTTATTTTCACAAGCTTAAAATTAACACTACAATACACCATGAAATCACGTTTTAACTCTTAATTGATGTTTTTTTTTCTTTTTCTTTCAGAACTCTTAATTGATGTTCTAAATAGTAAAACAATATGACAGGTTAATTTTGAAAGTAAATAGTATATGATATACATTTATCGTTTTATAGATTTTCTATAAACTGTATATGGTGTTAAAAAATACAAAAAATAATAAAAATAAGTAGTGCATGCATCGAGGTTATTGTCCAAAACCTGCTAGACGTTAACCGGTCGTTAGGATCTATACAGACCCACGTAAGTAAGTAAAACTGCTGTTGTAGTATTGTAGTTCGAATTATATAATTTGGTTACCTACACATCAATATGTTCATCCAATTATATCTTTAGTTCTGAATCATTATTTTAAGTGAAAGGTCCAAATTTCAATATGTCTTCCTGTTTATTGTTTATGTGCGTACGTACAGTACAACACATATGTATATAAATAAAAAATGAAATAGAAGAGTGAAGAAATCATAAGTGAACAGATGGCAATTTTAGTTGGAGGAGAGGTCATAGAAAGGGCTGTCTTGGTTGGTCCTTGTCTATAAATAAGGTTCTTTCTTTCTCTTCTTTTAACGACAAAACCCATGATTTATGGACTTAACCTTACAGCTCACACATGCATATAGCATACATATCACTGGATGCAATACTATTTAAATTTAAGTCTATTATTTTCTGTTTATATGTAATTTCTGTTTTAATACACTTGTGGTTGTTAATTATATGCAACATTGTCTAATATATATGATCGAAATGGTGGAATCAAAACTCCCTAATTGGCCCGACCGTCAAAATCAATATATATCTGATACTAGTATACTCCATAGTTACTTATACATCTAAGTATATAACATAATTTAGTAATATAGTATCATAGTTATAATTAAATCCTCTCTTTCAAATAGCATCATATTGTTTAATGTAACTTAATTAATATAATGGACTGGTTTTAGGAATATTTGACGCCTTATAACTTGATGAGTAAGGTCAGTACCTGCTACTTGGAGGTTCATGGGGGTTAAGTGGTTACAAAAGCAAAACGCTTCTATGTTACCCCATAAAAATTTGGATTATGTAATCCAACTCTCTAGGAATTCGAATTCTCAACTCTATAAATTCTAACAAAAATATAAGAAAATACATACATGCGACTATTTGTGTTCAAATTAAATAATTAGATAGTTAAAGTTTTATGTTGATAACGTGTTGTGCAAAAAAAAGTCGATAGCTAATTTTTTTTTATACAGAAAATAATAACAAATAAACTATGTATTAAGTTAAGATTTTAAGGTTTTTGTAGATTTGGTTTAGTACAATAAAACCTAATTACTAATTAAGAAATGACATGTGTTAGTATGTGAGAGTTTTTCATGGGTATCTCATATCGATGCTTGAATATTTCTATAAAAAAAATTATTTATTTCTTTTTATCCATTTCAATCATTAACAAAATTAGTCAGAAATTCAGAATCTATAGACAACACTATACAAAATGATCCTTAATATGAATCTAGACAAGAAAAAAAAAAACACAACACCAAATCAAATCATCCTTAGTCAGAAACTCGAAATCTAAAGACAAAGTGCAGTTTAAAAGCGAAATACAATCAACAAAAGAATCTTTATTTTCTAAAAATCGAACTTTAAGGTCAGTTTGGGTTATTGCCCAGAAATTCTAAAAGCCTAAAAGATTACGAACTAGGCTTGGCCCATGGTCACGTCAATTGAATTGACAGCCTTTATATATAGATCAATCTATCCCTAATTTTATTTAGCTTTCATAATATTTCTGGAAGAAACTGTCTATACGTTACATATAAGTCATATAGTAAAAACATCAAGTAGTCTCGTCCCCTGGATTTGTGCTCGTTCTCTGCTTCTTATTGTCAAGAAAACAAAAAAAAGTATATCAACGCAGATCTCTTGGGGCAGTGTTTTTGAAAAGACACTCGGTCACATTACTAGATAAATGTATGTGTAATATTAGTTATGATAGTTTACAAAGACAACATTATTTTGGTCTTAATATATAGTCACATGTAGAACTAAACAACAATGAACCTCCTTAACCATCTTCCGCTTCTTAATTATGCTTCTTAGGTTTCTTCTTCACGTAAAATTATCTCATCCAATCTTGTTGTCATCATCGATGTTCTCTCTAGGACAACAATTCGCTCAATACGCTTAACACCTATTCTCAGCTCAACTCCTCTTCTAAGTCCATGAGAATGAGCTAATACAAATTCCAACTTTCAGAAACTCTCAAATAAAGATAATAAGTGACTAGTCCATGTGAAGAAAGACAAGTATTTGCTTGAAATGGCTATGAAAATCGTACCTTCATGGCAAAGAGTTTCCCAACCCACTATTTGTGCAGTGATTTTAGAAGACTTACTAAAGCCACTAGTGTTCGGCTAGCCCATATTCTCCAAATAGAAATTGTGTCCAGCAAAGGTCCAATACTAAGTTAAGAGGCCGAATCTAAAAGTCATTAAACCCACATTTACAAAAGAGTGAATGAATCATTTCACCTTGGTGTAATCATTTATATATCGTTCTTGTCCATTTGAACAAATTCGAATTTAGAAATCCAACTCAAAAACTTGACTTTTAACAACGATATTCTAGTACAACTGTGAATTAAGTTTATTAGAAAAAAATCATTTAGCATGTGCTGATCCGGCTGGCGAATACTGTAATCGAATCTTCGAGTTAATTAGATAAATAAGAGCTATTGATTGGATTTTCACATCGAACTGATTAAACAAGGTTTCATTGCAACCTGCCAATATAGTTCATTGTTTTGTGATGTATCAAGAATAAATCTAATTGATTTTTCTTCGTTGAATCAGTTGTGAGTCTTCTCGTTTTTGTCGTTATATGGAAGATATTAAATCTTAATCATTGTGGTTTCAATTAATTCGTTTACTAATCGTTGATTTGATGGCTTATAATAATGTAACTTAGAAGAGAGAAAGACATCTATCTTTTTTTTTTTTTTTTTTTTTTTTTTTTTTTTTTTTATCTTGAGAACACAAAGAATCAATCACACCATAAAAACCAAACATTTTGAAAAACGAAAAGAGCAAAATATTTTGCCTTTATATGATATGTAGTAAACACACAAAAATACAAAAGCTAAAGCTACGATTCTTAGAATCAGACAAGACCATTTTGATTCTTCTACGTCTCGTGTTGATCTCTTAAAAAAAAAAAAACTTCTTCACACACTTATATAAATATATAAAAATATGTTTCTTGATTACTCATACTATTACATAATAGCAAATTAATTTACGAGTAAAACTTGTAATCCTTTGCTTGAATAACGATTGTCCTTAGCCCTCCTATGGGGGATAGAATCATTAAGCAAAGACCGAAAAAGATACATACCTGGAAAAAAAAGAGCAAACAAATTAACAAAGAAACACAGTTTCACAAAACGCAACCGCAGATCCAAAACGCTAGAAAAGTAATGATAAATGATAATGGTTACTTACCCAGTTTGCACACCAAGACAAGCTGTATTTCTTGGGTTTGTAGATTGCTAACCAAATGACGCAAGGGATCTGAAAAAAAGAAAAAAAGATTAATTAATTAGTTCTAATAATTTATATTAATCAAGATTCAAGCGTTTAGAAATCGAAAAGCTTACGAAGTATGTGGTTGGAGCAAACGCGAATCCACCAAAGAACGCCAAAAGCCCACCAAAGAACGGAAACGTCATACCAACAAACATCGTTGCAGCTATATAAACCATAGTTTAAATGACATAAAAAAAAAAAAAGATCAGATATACAGTTTTAAAATGTTAATACACATAAAATTAAAAACAATTAATAAACACGAGAAGTTTAATTAGTTTTCTTACCAACGTAGAAATTACGGACACAGAACCGAAGAGCTGTGGTCGGTCTGAAGTTTAGCTTCTTGACCAATAAAGTCTCCATCATGTCAAATACTGGCATTGCATATATCTACAACAAAACCAAGCTTTGGTTTAATACGGTTCTTTGTACCACGAATGACTTGTGCACTCTTTTAAGTGTTTAGAGAAACCAACCTGATAACTACCAATGACATGGATCACGACAAAGATGTTGGCGGTCGCGATTAACCATGCTGGTTTCTTAAGTGACATGAGAATGTTATCATCAACGGCGTTACCGAATATATAATATCCGACGAGAGCCACGGGGAAATAACAGAGCGCGACGACGATGTAAGCAACGATGACTCCTTTCCACATAGGACCTTTTGAAGGCTTCTCAGGCGTTGAAGGGATCGTTGCTTGGATCTCAAGGACCACGTTGTGACCCGCGTATGCGAACGCTACATCACCTAAACCGCTAAAGAAATTGAAAACCGTACCGGCTGTTGATTTTGCTTTGTAACCGTATTGAACGTCTTCTTGGACGCCTTTGCTCACTGATGCTCCCC